TTTATAATAACTAAAAAATCGTGTAAACACAGGCATGGACAATAAAAGAGAAATATTTGCTGCAATTCGTCTTTCATCAAACTTTGCTTTCACGATGTGATGATTTTTCACATATTTGATGATTTTCTCTGCATCTTTGACTGTTTTTGTGGCCTCAGTTGTAGAAACTATGTCCTTCACAAGCAAGTTGACTCCATGAGCTCTGCATCCGCTAACCGAGATGTGTGGATATTTCTCCTCGATGATCCTCCACGCTGATTTCATAACAGGAGCATTGTCGCTAATGAAACTGGTAAATTTTTGTGAGCCAATCTTCTCAATAACTTGTAAGATTGCCGCGACGACTGCAGATGAATTTTGAATGATTCTGGATGTATGTAAAGGCCTCCGATTCGACTAAACGAATTGATATACCCGTACGGTAAAAGAAATTAGCAAGCTTCGTGTTGATATCATTTTTGAGCTCTTCATTAATTGGTGGATGTACACGCTGCATCGGTGAATCAGATGTAGACGGAAGTTGCTGAGAATCATTGATTAGATGTGACGATTCATAATTATGCTTAGAAAACAATCTTTTTTCCTCGACACTTGCGTTTGGACATGTTAATCTTTTATGCGCTGCAAGGTGTTCCTTCGACCATTGAACAGTTTTGTTACATGCTAAACAAGTGCCAGAACGCTTCTCTCGATCAAGATTTGTCAAATAATTGGAAATTTTGATGTTTTCCATTTTAAAAATTTTGAATGACAAAAATACATGATTTCTTGATTCTAAATCACTTTAATTTGTAGTAAAAAAAAAAAGTTTATATTGATTGATTATATGTAGCTCGAACCAAAAAAAAACAGATAAGTAATGAAAAACTTGTAAAAAGTACATAATTATGCAAAAATAATTTCAGACATTTGATTCAGATAAATTAAATTTTTCCTTTTCGTTAGTGTCTGCGCATATTTTGTCAGCGCAGATCTGCGCAGACACTTATTCCGAACCCTAATTATAATACATTAAAATTATACTATCAAATATTTTTTTAGCTCTTTAATTGAACTATTAATGTTATACAAATGATGAGTTTAACTTTTGTGCATGTCAATACAAAAAATGTTGAATTAACAAAAACTTTTGATCTTGTTTGTTTTTAATGTTTTAAAATTAAACCTGGATAATTGATTTTTGTAGTTATAAGGCTGCTCAAGTAATGTGACACTTTTTTTGCTCTTTTTTGTTATCTTCCTCCCCAAAACGGTTTTGTGATATTTTTGTAACCCCCCCCCCCCCCATCACCCCAGCCTCCTATTTCTTATGTGATGTGACATTTGTAAACAAAATATATATGAGTTTTTGCTAAAAGTTTACTAATTAATAAGGAATTAAATTGAATTGAAATTCAATTTAATTCCTTATTAATTAGTTATCAATTTTTATCACAACGGAATTAGATCACACAAAAAAATAGCTATTTGTATAGCCCTAGATGTTACTCATTATGGAGGCCTTAACAATTAGTACGTTAAGGGCGGATACAAAGGATTAAGAAGTTAAACTTCCAAAGTACCTAAAGAAACGTTGAATGTCATAGAATTAACATGCAATAGGATACGGGGGTGCGAAAAAAGTGGTTTTGCTGCGTATGTATATTATGGATACCCATAAGAAGAAGTTGTATTAGTGGCAGATTTAGTATAGTACTCCTTAGTGCCTTGGCGAACAAGTAAGAAATGTATAATCCTATACCTCCCTAAAAATACCAACGTTTTTAACCTACCAACCCACCATTTTATAATATTTTTTTAAATTTAGTGTCTCTAAACTTTTATAATTGACCTACTGCCCTGCCCCCTATCTCATATTTTTACATTTGCAGACCCCTCTTTCTCTCCAAGCGTTCGTATTTTATGGACGATCCCTTAACTACTTTCTAAGTGCTACGAAATAAAAAATTTAAAATGTTCAAAATAAGAAAGTTTTCAATTAAATATGATTTCAAAGTTCTTTCCCCAGGGTTTTTAATAATTGGTGTAAGATTTACAACCCTAAAATTAAAGACACATGATTCGTTTAAAAATCGTTAAATAACAAGCAATAAGTTTACGACTTTTAGGGAGCTACTCATCAAATCAAGAAAGTAAACTATATACTAATCAATTTTTTTAAAATATTTGGAAATAAGGCCAAGATAAATCTAGTTATTTAATAAACAGGGGTGGGTAAGGAGAAAAAAAGAATTATCTGGTATGAAATGCAACCAACAAAGAAAAAAATGTAGTAATTTTCATATATTTTGCAGTATTTTGCTTCTCTGTTTTTTTTATTTTTTGTATAATATTTTAATCTCTTACATATAAATTTTTACATTATTTAGAATTTCTTTTTTAAAAATTCATAGTTGCAATATATTCTTTTTCTCAAGGTTGGTTTTAAGCTTTCAAAATTATTCAACAGTGGTTCTCGGTGACAAGACCTGTATGGTCTTCTTTAAGTATCCTCGTTCTTTATCTTTATTCTTTATTTTTTAACGGTTTCTTTGCATGTAATTTTTCTTATTGATTTCTTTGTAAATATTGTATTAAATATTGTAATAAAGAACAAAAAAAAAAAAAAAAAAAAAAAAAAGCTTTCTGTTTATAGGGTTAGTTTTTGATTGTGTGATTTAAGAAGACTTTTTTCTTTAAACTCGTAATAAATGAATTCGCCTCCTTGTTTGTAGTATCCAAATTTATTTCTTTATCCAAAACCCTATTTTTTTATAAATCGAATAACACGATCTTCTAACATGTGTAACTTTGATAACAATGAACCATATAAGCAATTAGCATTACTTTTCTAAAGATAAATATATAGTAATAGTAAAAAGCATATCTTTTTTATCTAATATAATTTTCATTTCTCAAACATACTACAAACACTTTAATATGAATACTAATATAATACTCTATGCACTACTTATCAACCAATAGTTTTTAAAAATATCTAATCAAAACATTTAAAATAATATATTTTCAAGAATATTGTTCTAAAGATTAACATCCTTTACCTTGTATCCAAAATCATCAAATTGTGTACTCTTGTTCATCTATTAAATCTGGAATCAGGTACAAGTTAACCTACCACCCTAAATCGGTTATTTCTTTACTGCTATAAAAAGTTCTTGTTATTATCTTCTGTCGTTTAATAACCTTAAATTATATATCCTCAATCATTATTTAGTTATGTACGGCAATAATTCACAAACCAATGCATAAAATCATGGAATAGATTACATCTTCACTTTAAATCACTAAACCTTATTACTAAAACCGGTCTTTATGCCTATTTTTGGAGAGATACTGTTTGTAAAATGTTGGGCTCATTGTGGGTATATAATATTATATTTATTAATATAAATAGTATTGTTAACATTGCTGATATTGTTATTGGCCTCGTTATAATTGTTTTAATATTATTATAAAATTTAATTTTACTTTAGATTATTACTATTACTAGAAATAGTACTAGTACTATTTCTAAATATCGATGAAATGTAATAACCTTTTTTCATAATATATATTGTTATTATATATATATATATATATATATATATATATATATATATATATATATATATATATATATATATATATATCAATATATATATATATATATATATATATCAATGTATATATATATATATATATATATATATATATATATATATATATATATATATATATATTTATATATATATATATTTATATATATATATATATATTTGCATGCATGTGTATGTTGCATACATACACACACATATGATATATCATATATCATGTGTGTGTGTATGTATGTAAGAAATTTATTTATAACTTTGTTCTGGTGCATTTTAAATGATCATGTTAAAAAATGATGATGAAAAAATAAAATTATATTAGCTAATAGAAAAGCAAATTTTTTACTTACTTTACATTGCATCTATTTGGAAACTTGCGATTGCTAAAAGAAAAAACATGCACACATATATTATATGTGTGTATGTTTTGTTTTAGGAAATGGAAAGTTTCCAAATACATGGAATGTAAAGTAAAAAAAGAAAAAAAATTACTTTTCTATTAGCTTACAAAATATTAATAAATAATGTTATTTTTTCATCTTTATTTTTATAATATGATCGTGTAAAATGCATCAGAACAAAGTTATAAAAAAAAATCTTAGCACTTAACTACTCACACGATAAAAATACATTTTTCTGCCAAAATTAAATTTAAGCAAGAATCAAAAAATAATAAAACTATAAAGTAAAGAACATTAAAGAGGTTGAAGAAAAAATTTTCAAATTCGTACAGTTAGAAATTCTGAAATTTTATTTCAAAAAATAAACAACTTGCTCTCCTGCAGCAAATTAGCTTTCACAGAAATACAACTATGTGCATCTTAATTTGTTTTTAAACTTAATTTAATTGGCTAATATTAAATAAATGACGCTTGTTTATTGAAGTAAAAAAAAAAAAAAGTTTATAATACTGAACTGTACTGTTCCAAAAAATGCAACTAAATGGTTGTCATCTAAAATTTACTCTGTAGTTAAGAACCACAGCCATTTTAAAAGCTCTAAAGTTTTTACTTAAAACTTGCGCATGCGTACCTAAACATAACGCTTTTTCCTAATATCTAAACGACCGTGCCTTCATATGTGAATACAGGCAACCAAATCCTAACTTTTAAACAATTCATATACTGAAGCCCTCAATTTTTTTTTTTTTTAAAAACATGTCATCTATTACATTTTATGTACAGCTAAATTTGCCAAAAAAAAAAATTTTTAATTTTATTTTTATTTTTTGTTGATTAAAGAATATTTTAGTACCATGATGTAAGCATGTTGTTGACTTCAATCTACAATGGTAGATATATATAGTAGTTTTATCATTCAATATATTGATTTATTTACATAAAATGATTTATTCCTATTTATTAGTATTATTCTTTATTCTTTATTATTTTTTTACTTATATTAATTTAGATTCATATCTGGATACGTTGTTGATGATTTATGCCATATTGCATTTCATTTTTTGTTTAAACTTCATATCCAAGTTCATAAATCTAGATTTCTAAATAGTCTAGCATTTTGTAAACAGTTTTTGCGTCTTTGCTGGAGTCATTTGCTGCGTCCTGTAACTTCCATTACTGGGTAAGTAGTTCTAGTAACATTTAAATTACCTAGTTATATTAATATGTTAAATATGTTTTATGATTAACTTGTTTTTAATATATGACTAACTTGTTTTTTTCAAACAAAAGATTTTTATTTTTAACATTGAATTAACAGAAAACAAACTCAGCTAATTTTTCACTTGTCAGTGAGTAGCAATACAGTTTATGTCAAAGAATCATTGCGACTATTAACAGTCTTCAGTTCCTTATTCAAATATGCACTTTTTTCTATATATGACTTTGACTTCTATTCTACAAATGCTGGTATGTAAATATTACTATGAATTTTTTTATTTTAAAATAATTTGGAGGAGTAGGCTACTTAATTGTGGTTATAACCCTCTCTCAACTCTTTAACTCCAAAACCCGAACCTTAACAAACAAGGCTGCTGCGCGGAGAAACAAGTTGAGCACAATAATACCAGGGGTATGGTGGGGATTAAACTTGGAACCTCTTGCTTACGAAGCCAGCGCTCTACCACTACACCACTACATTTGTTGCTAAAGTTTATAGAGAAATCTGAATTGATATCTATGTTTTCTTAATTTACAAATGAAAAAAAAACTTTACTGGACCATAGTAAATCTCAATGAAACTTAGCTGTCAAATAATAACCCTAATTGTAAAAAATGTACATTAAAGTAAATATTAACTTAATAAATTTAGAAAACTTAAACTAAAATAAATTTAGAAAATTTAAACAACTTTAGAAAACTGCTATTTTTAATTTTTTGAAAAATCAAAAAGCATGTATCGTATATTAAAGAATAATAAATTACATGTTAAATGATATCTGCAACTTACAAAAAGTTGTAATTGTATTGTTGTCAGCTAAAGAAATGTTTCATCAAAATAAATTATTTTTAGTTATGCTAATGTATTATTATTAAGTAAATAAATTAAAAAGTGAATATAGTTATTATATTAAAAAGTGAAAATTTTACAATCTGCAATCACAATATAAACTGAGAAAAATCTAAAACAAAAACAATTTCATGCTAGTAGTTGCTGTTGCTTTATTTGTAGCTCTGTTTTGTAACACTAATTGTGTGTACTTTTTATTCATTGGTTTGTTTTGAAAACACTCATTGTGTGTTTTATACTCATTGGTTGTTTTGTAACACTTGTAGTGTGTTTTGTAACACTCATAGTGTTTTGTACTCATTGCTTTGTTTTGTAACACTCATAGTGTGTTTTGCAACACTCATAGTGTGTTTTGTAACACTCATAGTGTGTTTTGTACTCATTGCTTTGTTTATTTCAGACAAAAATAATAGGGTTGAAGCTTTTTATTAAAATGAGCTTTTAGATTTATATCAAATTTTTTTAAATTTTTATTTTATGTATTGCTCTAATAGTAACAGCTTTTTAAAACAAGTATTTATTTTTTAGACACCTGCCAATCTTTAATGCCATTTTCTTTGGCAGAGGTGGTGGAAATGTCAACTATTGTCAGAGACTCAATTTTAGGTTTGATCATGTTGATGTATCCTGAAAGTAAAACAGTTGAAACTAAATTTTATTCCAAATGTGTATTTTGTTGCCAGGTAATATTTTTTGACCCAGGCTTTTAATATTACTTAATTTTTCAAATATTAGCCTAATGTTTGCTATCAAATCTTTTACAGCAAACATTAGGTTTTTCTTCCCAATTAAACATTCTCAACGATGTCCTGGCTGCTGCATACAACCATATACATAGTACGAAAATTAAGGGTATATTTTTATTTAAGTTATGGTAGAAAAATGGTCTTGATATTGATAGAAATCTGTCTAATATAACAATATTCCAGCTGATGATAAAATTTCTTGCAGAAGTAGTATTTAAGTATAAAAATACATTTTTCAAAAGTCTTTTGTGAGTATTTTTTCAAGCTACTTTTTTTAAATGCAATGTTTTTATATTAATATTTTGATGAGAGATCTTTTAAAACTGATTACTGTTTCTTATGCTTATATACTAATATAAAAAGGTATTTATCAGATAGTATTTGTGGAAGAGTTATGTCAGATATGTTGGCATCACAAGCTGTCTGTAGCTCCATAAATGCTTCTCAAGTTTAGTTATTAATTATTAAACTGATTATATAGAGAAAAAAAATGAGTTTTAACACATACACAATTTTTTGTGTAAACTTAATATGAATTTGTTACATGTTTCAAGTTTTTAATGTAAACAAAGATGCAGATATGAAATTTAATATTGTAAATTTACAAATCACTTATAACTTTAGATCACTATTAGTTCATCATTATTGATGTTAATTGTTTTGAACAAAATTTTCTTTATTTTTTAAAGAAAAACGTGTTATGCCAACAGGAAAATTTTTAATAATTACACATGGGAACTAAGTATGCTATGCTAGCACACTTTGGTATTAAAACACTTAACTAAGAATCAAGAGATTTATTCAAAAAAAAATCTTACACCTTTGAAAGTATCATGCTCAACCTGTTTCTCTAGCAGTGGTCTTGTTTAACCTGTTTCTCCAGCAGTGAACTTAATTTAAAAAGTTTCAAAGTTTAGAGTTAAAACAGTTGCAAATAAGAATTACATATAAATATGAATATTTTAAAATTAAGTTCTCAGGATTCATGAAAAATTACCAATAATGCATTTCCAATTTGGTTTGTGGTTTTTTACTGCAATAAATATTTTGTACTTTTTCTATTTAAATTTTTTTTTTAATATTTTTTATTAAGTTTAAAATTTTACAGATGGCAACAGCTTTCATTAAACATCTTTATGCTCGAGACTGTCGTCATCAATTCTGTCCAGAAAAACATTGGTTATCAGATCGTGCTGCAATTAGTCAAGAAAATTTAAATGTGAGTTCTTTTTTGGAAGAGCAAACAGCAGAAGAAGTATCAAAACCTGGACTCTCATTGCTTAATTTACGAAATTTGGCAGTGCTCAAATACATACCGTTTGCTGTTCCTTTTTTGCAGCGTGTTAGGGTAGTTAGATTTTATATACATAAAGTTGATTACTAAGTAAATAAATAATAAATTTTTATTTTAATAAATGTTTGATAAAAGCATATATTATTTTAATAAATTTAGTTAGTATATTATTGTTTAGCAGTGGGCAGGTTTAATTTATAATAATGTTGCGATATGCCAATGCAAAAAATAAAAAAAATTGTACACATAATTTTTCTTATTTTTTGCATTGGCAAAAATAAAAAAAATCACATTTTTTATGTTAATGCTAAAAAATATTTACTTGTTATGTAAAATTATAAGAGTTAATTAATCACAAAATATCAAGATTTTGGAAAAAAATGTTTTTTTTTTTTTTTTTTTTGTAGAATAGAAGTTTTAAAATGTAAAAGTTTAAAAATGTAGTAAAAAAGCAGTTTAAATGTTTAATTAACATTTATTAATGTTTAATTAACATAACAAAAATTAAATGTTTAATTAACATTTAATTTTTTTGCTCTTTTTTTTTAAAAAAAAGAGCAAAAAAATTAAATGTTAATTAAACTCAAAATTAGTTCACTAAATTTTATGATTTAAATTAGTATGAAGTCTTTTTTGGCCATGATGACCTCAGCTAGATAATTTATTACTAAGTTGACCACAGTTTGAGTCCCTTTTGTTGTTATATTATCTTATTTACATATTATAGCATATTGGATAATATAATCCACTAGTTTCAAGTTGTTTAGGTGTCTAAATGCTTGTTTTCTGTTCTAAATATACCACAAATGTTCTGTTGGATTTAATTCCAGACTTCAAAATGGCTATTTTAATACATCAAGCATATATATATTTTTTTAACATTATGGTATGGGTCAATATCCTGCCAGCATATGGAATTATTTTCCTTTCTCAATTTTTTTAGTAGATTGTTGCAAGTTTTAGAGGTTTTTATAGATTGTTGCAAGTTTTATCACAATACAAAGAAGCATCCAGTTTTTCAGTTATAACACCAATTTACCCTCTCTTTTTCAATTAATAATAACTCAAATTATCAAGTTTCTTCCTGCATGCTTTATAGTACCTTGCAAACAATTCAATATTGTAGCTTTTATTATAGATTTTTAATAGATTTTTATTATAGATTTATAATAGATTCAATATTAGACTTTCTGAAATCTACCTGATGTGACAAAATTGTATTTTGCCTCATGACCACAAAACTTTTTCATACGATATAGGCATTTTTATGTATTTCTTTGCAATAGTTCCAATCATATCATAAATCTTTATGATTGATATCACTGTGATAAAATAGATTCCAGTTTCTTTTTAGATCTGGTCTAAATTTTCATAGTCATTAACATAGTCTTTTATTGATGAAAGAAAGAAAACGTATTTAATAGCTATAATTAATTTTGCATATCAAATAAATTTGAGTTTTGCAAAAGTGACCTATTTTGTTTGTGTAAAATTTTTTTTTTAAAGTTAATTCTATACGTCATTTGATCTAAAATTCAACAAGTTTGACAAACAATTTATTTAACAATACATAATTCTAATAACTAAATAGAATTAAGTATTAAGTTGACTCTTAAATAAATTAAACAATGGTTAAAATTGATTCTTAAATAAATAGTTGATATAAAGAAAAAAAATTCAAGTATTTCAACACACTACTTATTTTTTTAATGCAAATTTTAAAATTACAATTTTTTTTTTGCATTATATATATATATATATATATATATATATATATATATATATATATATATATATATATATATATATATATATATATATATATGTGTGTGTGTATATATGTGTGTGTATATATATATATATATATATATATATATATATATATATATATATATATATATATATATATATATATATATATATATTTATTTATTTAATTATTACAGATATTTCAGCGTATTTTGTCTGAAGATAAAAAAGAGAGTCAAAATATATTTCAAAATGTTTTACCATCGCATAGTATCAACATAACAGTAAACAGAAAATATCTATATCAAGATGCCTATGACCAACTTTCACAGGATCGAGCAGATGATATTAAAAAAGTTATCAGAATACATATGATTAATGCGCAAGGGTTGGATGAAGCAGGTATAGACGGAGGTGGTGTTTTTCGGTGAGTAATAAAATAAAAGTATATAAAGTATTTCAGTTAATTTTAAAAATGTGGCCTCAGCTAGAGTGGTCCATAGGACTTGGCTAGAGTGGCCCGTAAGACTTGGGGCAGTGAATATGTTATATAATAAACAAAAAGAAAAAAAGATATAGTATTTATGTTATGTTTAATTTTTGAAAATAACTTGGTTTAATAACTATGTAATGTTTTAAAAGCAGTCTAAATTTGTTACTTTGATACACAAGTTGTCATTAACATTATTGTGTCAGTGGTGTTGCTCTTAGAAACAATATCTAAGTTTTATTCATACACTATATGTAATTATTAGATTTACAGTTTGTACCAGCAATTTTTGGTATTAAGTTGCTTTAAACTGGAGTAGATAGTTTATAAGAAAATTAAAGTTACATCAAAAATGAATAAATTTCAAGTTCACTTCTAGCTAGCTTATTTAAAAAACAAATTTGAAAATCAACAAAAATAAACCGCTTTAAAGATGCCATTTTTTGCAGTAATGCAAAGAAATCATTAAAAATAATTTTAAAAAATCATTAAAAATTAGTAAAGGTAAACTAAATTTTTTTCAATTTATTTTTTCTGTACTAAGTTAAAGTTTTTAGGCTAAAAAAATGATTTTTATTTTTGTTTTATAACTTAAAAACAAAAATATCTGTAATTTTTTTGGTGACTGTCTATCCAGGACTCAAACATGTCAAAAAAATTATAAAAAAAAAAAAATAATTTATATTTCATTACACATGAAAATATGCTGGAAATGTTTCACACCAATCATGCTTTCACAGGAAGACGTGCGATTTCACGTCTTTATATGACCACGCAAGTTACATTTTGCTATGAAGGTTTGACCGCGGCTAATTCAAAAAACATTTTAGAAATGCGCTAAATAAAAAATATTCTGAAAAAGTGAAATTAATTACATCAAAACTTCTTAACAAATGTTTTTATATTACCGAAATGATTTTAAATAAAGTAAAAATTAACTAAAAAAAAGTTTTGTTTTTTAAATATAGTTAACAGTTGTATATATTTTTTTAATTTAAAACATAAATTGTTTAAGTGTTCATTTCTAAAATAAATCTTATTAAAAAATAAAAAATTGTTTTGTTTTTATAAACGATGACATTCTACGACTACGAAAGTCTCTTTAACGAATTTAAATATAAGAATGATTAAAGTTAATGCATTTAAAAAGATAAAATTTTGTTAAAAAAAAAAGTTTTAGAAAACCGTTACAATTAAATAAGTTTGATCTTAAATGCTTTTAAGATCAAACTTATTTAATTATCTTTTTATATTATCGAAACGCTTTTAATGAAGTAAAAAAAAAAACACTTCTAATTAATTTAAAAAAAAGTATTAATAAAATATTTTTTTATTTTATTTATATAGCTATGTATTTTTTATGAGAAATATTTAACTTTTGAACATTTTAAATAAATAAAAAATATATAAAAATATTGAAACAAAGATTGAAATGTTTTTTTAATGCGTAAATTAAATATTAAATAGACTAAGCACTTTAGTTTGATGAGATAAATTAAATAGACTAAGCACTTTAGTTTGATGAGTTTTGTTTTAGTTGCGTATATATATATATATTTATTTTTTTGTGTTTTTGCTTTAACTAAGTATTTTTTTTATTTTCTCTTTCGTAAATATTTATTATTTTTTTAATTTTTTTTTTCAGATAAGTTTAGGTAAGTTTTTGTAGCGCGTTTTTAAATTTTAAAAATACGCTCAAATCGTTAAAACATTTTTTTGCGTGGTCATATAAAGACGTGAAATCGCACGTCTTCCTGTGAAAGCCTGCCAATATACTTTTTTTAAAATTCATTATAACTCACTCTTGTTTATGTTTCATAACAATGAATTATACGTAAAAAAAAATAATTAAAATAGTATATAGAATTGGTAGGACTTGCAACTTTCAAATTTTTTACATTATAGATTTATGGTCTAATAAAGGTACTCTTGCTTGAAGCAGTTGATTTTTCTAAAAAAAAAGTGAAAATTGCTTATCCCTAATGCATAGTTATATTTTTATTCAATTTTTTATTTGTATTCTAACACGAGCTCATGATTTTAAATGGAAATTGTTATTTTAAGTTTTTTTTCTTACACTGTCACTCAAAGGCTTTAACTGCAATAATAGATAAAAATGGTGATTTTGTCTTTGCATACGGAACTGCTTCAATTTTTAATTTTTTATTTAATAATTAAAATAAAAATATAATTTTTCTTAGAGAATTCATGTCACAACTTCTTCGCAGTGGTTTTGATCCAAGCATTGGCTTTTTTAAAACAACTTCACAGCAACTTCTCTATCCTAACCCTGACATAAGTCTTATTTATCCAGACTATTTAAAGCATTTACATTTTCTTGGGCGAATGTTGGGAAAAGTTATATATGAATCAATGATGGTGGAACTACCTTTAGCTGATTTTTTTTTATGTAAGTTATTAAATAAAGGTGGTTCTGATGTTGACATTCATCATCTGGAATCATTAGATCCTGAATTATATAAGTAAGTTTGTTACGCTATAAAGTTTTATAAGTTTTAATAGAAAACATTCTATGTTTTTATTGAATTTAAATGAAATTTTTATAGAGTTTTGTAAATCTCATTTTAGAAATTTATTATATTTAAAAAACTATAAAGAAGATGTGGAGGAACTTTCATTAAGTTTTACTGTTGCAAACAACGAGTATGGAGAAACAAAAGTAAAGTTTTTAAAAGTTTTTGTATCGTTTTATCTATTCTAAAAATCATTAATTGAAAAATTTAATAAAATATTGACAATTTTATTAATTTACTTTAAAAGCAGGTACATGATATTGAAATTAAAAGAGTTAGATGCTTATTAACACTGCCAAAATTGAACATGAAATTTGAAAAAAATTCTTTTACTTTTTTAGAACCAAACAATGCAACAGTTTTTCATATGCAATTAGATTAGCAAAAGATTATTCTAGTAGTAAATGACTCTTAAGAAACCGGTTTAAACCAGTTTAAACTAGTTTAAACGCTTATGTATAATTGTATATTTTTATTTTGAAACAAAAATATACAATTATGCATAAGCTGTACAGTTATACAAAGCTGTACATGACAAATGTTGATAACAATTGTTTTATAGTTTTACCAACAATTGTTTTATTTTTTTAAGTTTTGTAGTTTTATAAAGTGTAAATATACTGTGTAAAAAATGCCTATTTCATAAGTATGCAGTGTTAACCCTTTATATAATTTTTCGAAAAAAATATACTATCAAAATGTTATTTAACATTTACTTTGTTAAACAACTAAATGTTAACACATGAAATTCTTGAACAACAATATATATATCCTATTATTATATATATCCAATATATTATCATCCTTTAAAATTTATATTAAAATTATATATTATCTTTTTAAATAAATAGGTATAAAAAGTAGATCCTCAAGTTCAATCCACACCACATTCCTGGTTGTAGCGTGTTTAACTTGTTTCCCCCCATAGCAACCTTCTTTGTCAAAACTTGTGATTTGGAGTTAAAGAATTAAGAGAGAGTTGTATCCACATTTAAAACATTCTAATAATAGATTTTAGTTTATTTTAGTTTTAATAATGCTTAATTTTTTTTAGGTTCTTGAGTTAAAGCCTGGTGGAAAAGATATATCTGTTACTAATTCTAATAAAATTGAATACATTCACCTTATGGCTGATTACAGATTGAATAAGCAAGTCAGTAAAATTGTACTTGATTACAATTTTGTTATGCTTTTTATTATAATTCTTATTTGTTAATTATTCTTAAAAATAAGTGTTTAAAATTTGATAAAGATACGATCGCACTGCAATGCTTTTCGCTCTGGCTTGTCCGATGTTATAAATATAGAATGGCTTCAGATGTTTGATCAAAGAGAACTACAGGTGAAATTTTTTTTTTGTAATTTAAAAAAAAAAAGCATTTTCTTGCTATCTTGCACCGTGCAGTTTAATCTTAACACTCTGCACTTGCATCCATAAAGACTAAAATGTTGGAGGTATTGACAAAACTCACAATACATTAGAATGCTCTTAACTGTCTCATGCTATAATTTTTCTTTTCAATCAAAAACAAAGTTTAATTTAATTTTTTAATGATTTTTAATTCTTTAAATTTAAATTCGTTTTTAATGATTCTGAATTAGACAATTAGACAAAATAAGCTGTGACTTTGGGTGATGCTGTAATAATTTTTTCAAAAATAATATGTGAAATCATGAATAAAATTTTCTAAATCATGAATAATTGTATTCTAAACACAAAAAATAATTAAATGATTAAAAGTTTTTTAAGGTCAAACAAAAAGTTTACTTTTTGGAAATAAAGCAAAATGTTTATTTTTGTTTTTTTAAAACAAAAATAAATATTTTGTTTTATCTCCAAAATTATCTCCATATTATTTAAAATATAAACTATATTTTATGATTTAATTTAAAAAATAAACTATAAAGTTCTAAGAAAGTTTATAAAGTTTCATTATTTTTGATTTTAATAGACATTTTAATAATTTTAGTAACAAAAAGTCTCTCTAGAATATTATCATTTACATTGGATGTCATGCATCTTGATGTAGTTTCTTTCAGGTTTGGGGTCGTCCATAAAGTACATACGCTCATAGGGGGAGGGGGGAGGTCTTCAAAAAGCGTACAAAAGCGTATGGGGGGGGGGGGAGTTCAATTTAAAAGTATGTACTTCGATTTTCTAATTTTACACAATTAACCAGCTAGTCAATAGAAACATTCTGACTAAAGATCCTAGTTTGGCAACATAAAATGATGTATTGTATAAGGAGTAAAAGGTATAGTTTCTCTCTATGCACACACATGCATGGAGGCTCGCAGGATTTTTTTGATGTTCCAAATAAACCACTTCCACACATTGTGCAAACTACAAACTTAGGTGTGTTTATACCTATGCCATTTGATGAAGGCTTGCAAAAAATTGTTATGGGGGTAGTCTGGGAACAAAAAAGCCCTCTAATGCTTGCATCTCCCCCCAAAAAAATAAATAAATAAAGGGCAGTACGTTTTGCATCAGCATAACTTTGTTTTTTTAAATCTTTAAATTACTTTCGTAATTTACAATATTTTTCAACAAAATTTAAATTCTGTTGATAAATTTGAATTTAGTTTTAGATCGTTAAGTTAAAAATTTTACTACATAAGTGCCCATGTTGACCCTTATATACTGGCCCTGAGTGTACTCAGGGCCAGTATATAAGGGGTGGCATGTGTGCATGCATCTGCAAAAAATAGGTTGCCTATTTTTTGAGTCAACAAATACAGGTTTTTGCAGTGCAATGGCTAATGGGTCGGAGTCCCCCCCTCCCTTAAAAAAAACGTGTCATTAGGGTTTCAAAATCTTCCAAATTTTACCGCTAGGTTTTGCTAAAATAAAATAGCAAAAGGGCATAAAATTTGCTGCTCCCCCACAACACCCCACCTTCTCTAACTACAGGGTATAGGTAGTCTACACACGACACTGGGTTTTAAGCTTTGTTTTCAATATTACTCTTCTCGCGTGACTCGCTCTTTACAGACTTACTAAAGAGGGGTGCCTGAAAAAAACGTCTGCCTTAAGTATAGTTTATTTTTATTTGATGCATCTCATTAAACAAAAAAAGTGAAATAGGACTTTACTGGGAATTGAACTCGGGTCTCCGCTGTTACTGCCCATTTTCTATTATTCCACTAGAACCATCATAAGATCCACCTAAAATAAATTGTAATTGTTTTTTAAATCATGTGCATTTAAAAAAAAATAATGAGAATTTTGCTAAATTGTATTGACAGTGCAGGTGTCACAAATAGTTAGAGACATTTCATGAACAACATCATTTCATAAACAACATCATTTCATAAACAACATCATTTCATAAACAACAATGTTTCCTTCATAATCATGCTAGGTTTTTGATGGATCCTTTAGTATGTAGTGTTTTGAGAACAATGTACCAAAATATTGGTCCCTCTGACTAAAGAGCAATGACCATACCTTCAACTTTCTTAACATCATTATCATATGGTGCCACAGCTTTCTCAATGAAATATGTAAAAATGTAAGATAAAAGATGATTAAATAGACAAAGCTTTTTTAGCTTTAACCAGAGTTGTGACAACCTTCTACCAGCTTTAAAAATATCAGATTGATGTGAAGTGGGAATATCTTCATGGAAATGATTTAATAAGAGAATTACCCTTGATCTTTGTGGGTTGAAATCACTAGGTGGTAATTGTAGCCAAGAATGTTTTGAACCTGTAGATTTGAAGTTGATTAAAGCAAGTAGATTTTTTTTTTACTTTAGCATCTATCATATTTTAAAGTTAAAAATGTGAAGTCATATACTATTTTTATCTTAAAAATAAATTGAAGTCAAAAATAAATTTTCTGTCTACTTAACTTTTTTTCTGTCGACTGCATTTAAAGAAAAATGCATTTAAAGAAAAACTTTTTAAGAGCAAATTTGAAAGTTTGTATATCGGGTGAACACATAAAAATCCTGTCAACTTTTAATTGAGGTTTCTCTAAAACCACAAATGCTTTTTATTTTTTTATTTTTTTAATTAAACGTTACTTCCTTATCTTTAAAGGGATCCCAAACTCCCAACACATGTTGTGTTCATATTAAAGATAATGCTAAAAAAAAAGGTTTGAACCAAGTTTTTTTGATTAAAAATAAATAATAAATGCATACTGAGAAAAACTAATGCTGTTGTACGTCACAATCTACAGACTTTGGGGATTTCTTTGGAGCGCGTTTAATTCATAAAAGTTTTAGACGTCACCCTAGACTTTTAACAAATGAAAACTGAAATTAAACAAAGCTGCGTTTTTCTACTTTAATTCAAAAAGTACGGTGTAGTATTTTTTTAATATACATCAAAACAAATTTATTTTTATTATTTTTCCAAAAATCGCAAAAAAAAATAAAATTTATTTTATAGGAGCAACTTATTTTTTACAGATATCTTAATAATTTTTAGATTTATATATCTTACTTATTTTCCTTTTGTTTTTAAATTAAAACAATTATTAAAGCTTTACTTACCAATCTTATGATTTACATACAAGTATTTTACATTATATAGAAGTTAGAACAAGAGACAGTATACTGTCTCTCATTTTTGTGCAAGAGAGCGCAGTATTATATATTCTGAATTTTACTTATTTTCATTTAAACAATGGGAACTACTTTCTAACTTCTCTGGTTATTTTTATGTTATGACATTTTTGGTTTTCCCGTCGAAAAAAAGTATTTATTAACAATTACTTTCATTAACTGTCAGTATTAGTTAGAGATATTTGATGAACTGTTAATTTTTTTTTTATTGTAAAAATTTTTTGATTATGCTGATTTAATTTAAATTGCTAAATTTGCTGAATGTGAAATTGGATATAAAATGTTTAAATTGGATGTGGATAAAAAGGAAATATCATTTTATTTTGCATTTGATTTTTGATAATGAAACTTTCAAAATGTCGGCAACTCCATACCAAGTAGAACCTGTTAAAGTTATGAAAAAAAAGGTACAAGAATACACCAAACAATACAGTTGACAGTAGTATCAGATATGAGAATTTGTGAAAAGATATGTGAGATCCTGGTTTTGCATTACAAGTACAATTAATAGCAACACAAGTTATCATTATAAATTTAGATTATAAGTTTACTGTTCAATATTTTATAACCATAAAATTAAAAACATGAAAAACGTATATTTTCGCCCGTTTTATACAACTAATATTTAAAAAAATTACAGACAAATTGTTATTAATTAACGCAATACTTAACACATTAATCAATGGCAATAATTCAAGATAGATGGTAATTTAAATTGTCAAAATGTTGTAACGCACGTTAAAAAACATATTATATTTGGTATTTTGCAATTTATGTGTTGTATTTGTCATTTATCTCTTATCATGGAAAATTAAAAAACTAAAAAAATTGACAAATACAAGTTTTCAAGCAATTTTCTCTTCTCATTTATTAAACTTTTATTTCTATCTAATAAAAAAACGAGTGACGCAAAAAAATATATATTCTATACAACTCTTATTCGTTCAAAGTTTAATTACGCAAAACTTTTCTTTTTCTTTTGTTATACTCTTTTATAAAGAAAAGCGCGTGATAAAATAAAAACTTTTCTTTCTTTACATAGAATTAAACTTAGAGATAAAATTAAATTAGAAATAAATCAACAATGAGCAAAACAACTAACAGATTAATCTGGGACTATTTTGATTTACGTTCAATAGCAAGAACTCTAGCGAGATCTAGCCAGAAGATTCAAGATTTTGCGTTTTTATATGAAAAAGGTACTTAAAAATGCTGGAATTTAAGCATTTTATAAGAAAAATACACCTAGGAGAAGCTTAAATGGTGAAATTAAAGTAATTTGATGCGCAAAGAAGTTAGTTAAAATAATGGCGGATAAAAGTATGTGTATAATTGAAGACGACGAAATATATTGCAAGGTGGATTTTTTACAACTTCCTGGTCAACAATTTTACTATGAGAACAAAGATAAACCTGTCGATGATCAATTTAAATATATTTGACAAGAAAAATTTGCATCCCAGTTACTTGCAGACAAGCAATTTGTAGCTGTGGTAAGCAGTCCTCTTGTTTTGTCACTAAGAAGACCCTGAATGCCAATCTCTACATCAAAGAATGCCTCCAAAAAAGACTTTTTCCATTTATGAAAAAACACAAATACTGATGTCTTTTTGGCCAGATCTTGCTGCTTCTCACTATTCTAAAAAAGTTATACAGTGGTGCAAAGATAATAATGTGAAAATTGTTCTTAAAAATGCGAATCCTCCAAATTGTCCTGAAGAACACAAGATTGAAGATATTTGGGTAATAGTTAAAGGAGTTCTTCGTAAGACAGATGGAGTAACAAAAAATAAAAAGGATTCCAAAAAAAGTGGATTGACCAATAAGATGGAAAAAGAAAAAAACTGCAAAATGATGGCATTAACCTGCTATAAAACTCGATCTCTTGCCAAACAGCCCATCAAACCAAAATTAAGGTTAAAAAAAAATTGAAATAAAAAGTATTTAGACAAATCACAATTTAAAGTTGATCGATTTTTACGTGTCTATCAGATTATAATCAAATAATATTCAAAAATTTATATAAACTCAAATAATTTTGTTGTTGTTGTTGTTGTTATTTAGTTATAAATAAACACATTTTGAAATCAGGAATAAATAAACACATTTTGAAATCAATCATCTATAAAACTTAAATTATTTCAAGTATATTTTTTACCTAAGTTTTTATATTATTAAAGTTTCAAATTTTGTGCTTCATATATATTTTTTCCGAATAAATTACATTTAAAAGTTAATATCTGAAAAAAACATTTAAAAACCTTTCAGTTATTTAAGTTGTTTTTAATTTAAACTAAATACTAATTTTATAATTTAATTTAATTAATTATTAATTAATAACTTATAATGAATGGTAGAAACAATGCCATATTTAAAAAGTATATTGTTTAGTAAACTACTGTAATTCATTTTTTGCTGTGTTAATATAAAGTTTGAATTAATGTGACTATATCAAAAATTCAATATTCGTAAATAAACTTAAAAATCATGAATCATACTTGTTAACAAGTAAATTTAATAAAAGTTCAGTTTTTTTCAAACAATATTTGCTGACTTTATTTATAAATATTAAAAAGACCCCTCTCTTCCCCCTTGCTACTTCGCCAGTATTTTTTAGTACATAATATTGTGTGTTAATACATAAAATTGTGTGTTTTTAATTCAAAATTTGTTATAGATTTTGATATCTGGTGCACAAATACCAATTGATATAGAAGATTTAAGACGTAATACAAGTTATTCTGGTTCATTTACTGCTGAAGATCCATATATAGAAGAATTTTGGAAGATTTTAGAAGGGCTTAGTGATCATCAAAAAAGACTTTTTTTGAAATTTGTTACAAGTTGTTCCAGACCTCCATTACTTGGTTTTTCGGTATGAAATACTTGGTATATTTTTACATACTTTTAAATATTGGCACTTGATGATAAGACTTCTGGACTTAGTAATAAGATTTTGGAGCTTGGTGATAAGACTAAATTTGTCTTCTACTAGTTCTGGTCATGTAATTATTTTTTTTTATAAATATCTGTTTAAATTGGATCAAAAATAAAACAGAATTTTAAGTCTCCGAAAATCTGGTATTGAGTTCGGATATCCTGTTTTGCATTGCAGTTTTTATCTATCTGAAGGATTTTAGGATTTTAAAAAAAAAGAGATCTAACATTTTTTTTTTGAAAAAGCAAAAAAAAAATGATAGATTTCTAACATTTTTATTTTGCTTTACCGTAATAACCCCTGATTCCGGATGTAACCTTATTCCGGATGGTTTTAGTAAAAAGTTTCATAACTCCCTTAATATAATGAATTTATGAATAATTATTTTAATTAATAAACGTCTTTACCAGACAAATCGAAAAATATAAAAAAAAATTATATAAACTAATGCAATCATGAAAGATTTCAATTTGAAATCTCTCATAACTAAAAAAACAAAAAAAAGGAAATAAAAAACTTTGACTTGCAACAAAAAAATTGAAAAAGTAAAAACACTATTTTGTGCAGAATTTTATGCTGATTATTTTAGCCAAAAAAAAATTAAATTATCTTTTGAAAAAAATGAAAAACAAATTTGCTACCAGCCAAAAAAAAAAGACACCTAATTCCGGATAGAGGTAGTTATTATTTTATGTACCTAAAAAAAATAATAAACAAATTAGCCAGCAGCAATAAACAAATATACTTTTGAGTCCCAGATACAGTTAATTACAATTGGCTATTTTATTTTTTATCACTTTCATGCACATAATATAATATATTATGTTCATTAAAGTAATAAAAAATAAAATAGCCACAAGGAAAAAAATAATTGACACTAATCCAGATACAGCTATTTTTTGTAGTATCCATAAAGTTAACGCATTTGTGTTAATTGTATTACTGTATTAAAGAATATGTATAATTTTAAACAAAAAGAAGAGCGAGAGAGTCGAATCCAGCTAGCTATTCAAGCTATTACTGAAAAAAAAATGTCATACGTACAAGCTGCTAAGTGTTATAATGTGGCAAAATCTACATTTTTTGACAGAGCAAAAGGATCATCTAATAATCGAGAGCGCCAAGAAAGATGAGCAACATCACTAAAGCTAATATTGTTGATTTATTAAAATTTATGAGTGATATAGGCTTCAGCTTGAATACAAGACGTGTTTATTATTGTTGAAAACTATTTAAAAGAATCAAACCAACATAGTCTATTCAAAGACGGCAAACCAACTAGAAAATGGTACTCCGGTTTCATGAATAAATATCATAAAAAAATTTGCCCAAGAAAAGTAAGCGGTATGCAAACTATTAGAGCTGTGGCCACACAACCAGCTATAATTGACAATTGGTTTAAGCAATTAGCAGTAGCATATAATGAACATAATTTAGGCAATAAGCCATTTTAAATATTTAAATGCGATGAGTCTGGTTTGCAATTTGATCATGTCAAAGTCAAAATTATTTGTAGAAAAGGAACAAAAAACCCTAAAAAGCTAGCACCATCGAAAGAAAAAAAAATGACGACAATCTTGACTTGTTGTGACGTATTCGGTAATTATTTACCTCATCAAATAATTTATAAAGGCAAACATGTTATGAAAGACTGGTGCAAAGGCGGTGCTTAGAATGTTTATTATAACAGTAGTAGTTCAGGCTGGATGGAATCCAAACTTTTTTTGTGGTGGTTTGAAACAGTTTTTTTGCCTCATGCAAACAAACTTTCAGGATTTAAAGTTCTAATACTTGATGGCCATGCTTCACATATGAGCTTAGAGTTGAAAAAAAAAGCTTTAGAAAATTATGTTTTACTTTAGTGTTTGCCGGCTCATACCAGCCATTTTTTACAGCCACTAGACGTTGGCGTTTTTAAAACAGTAAAAGGCGCATGGAAGAGAATTGTCGAAAGTTATTTGACTAAAAATCACTTTTAAAGCCTGACTAATTGACATTTTCCGGCCATGTTTAAGGTTCTCATCCAAAATGGTGGGTTTTAACCTGAAAATACACGGAGTGGTTTCAAAAATACAAGTATATTTCCACTCGATTGTTCGCAAATTTCTTCTAAAAAAATTTCCATTGGTGCTGTGTTTCAAGCTGTCGAAAACAACAATATTGAAAATTTATTTGAATCTTCAACAGTATCTAGTCCATTAGTTATGGGAAATGCTACCAATACACCTAACACACCGTCAAGAATGTCAAATCATGAATTTTTGCTTAAAGCTTTGCTACTTCGAATAATGCTGTTCAATAAGTGGGCAAAGATATAAACAAATCAGTGTTAAATATGCTTCGAGATCAATTGACGCCAACTCTAAAAAAATGAGTTCAAAAAAGTGAGAGAATAAAGCAACCAGCTAAATATAATATGACTTCGGCGGATGCCATAGCTAACGATGAAGCTGAACAAGCATCAAAAAAACAAAAATTAGATGAACAAGCTGCAAAGAAATTTACTAGAGAACAAAAAAAGATTTCCACTGGTACTCAAAAAGCGAAAAATGCACAGAAAAGAGAAGAAAAAAGAAAGTTGAGACAAAGTCAGTCGTCTAAAATACCAGGTAAAAAAGGTATAAAGACAAAGAATCAGTTAAAAGACCCTCATTTTCCTCAAGCTTCAAATAACATTTTAGTATCTGATGATCTTTTATGTTATTCTTGCAAAATTAATTGGAGAAATAACTTAGATAACCAATGGCTTGCGTGTGAGCAGTGTTCAAATTGGTCATGCATTGAATGTGTCTTTCTTTATCTTTGATTATCGTCCAACCATGGAATTTATTTGTAACGAATGTGTATAAAATAATCTATATTCTTTTTTTATTAAACGATTTCATTTTTTTAATGGATTAAAATAATTATTTTAATGTTAGTATTATTTCTGTATGTGTTTTTCTGTATTTTATACGCATCCGGAATTAGGGACATAAACACCTAATTCCGGATAAAAACAATATTTTTTAAAAATAAAATAAAAGATAGATTTATATTTCAAAAATAATATTTTTTATATCGTTTGATTTGTCTTGTTATGAAGTTTATTTATTTAAAAAAATTATTTTAAAATTCTTTTTATTGAGCTAGTTATGACAATTTAAGTCCTAAACCATCCGGAATTAGGGGTTTTTACGGTATTTAAAAAAGACTTTATTTAAAAAAAAATTTTTTTTTTTTTAAATAAAGTCTTTTTAAATTTATTTTTTTTAAAATAAAGTCTTGCTTAAAAATTTATAATCCAAATTACATAATTTCTTTATAATCCAAATGACTAAAATATAAAGAATTTTGATGATAATAAATAAATAAAAAGTGTAACATTCAGTATGCTGCACATTAATAAAACTCCACATTTAGCTTCAAAAAAAAATTATAAAATCTTAAGTTAGGATTTGTTAAATATTTATAGAAAAATTAGACATTGCTTGTTTTTCATAGTAATCATACAATCATTGTGTGCATCTCTCTATGGTGAAAATAAGTGCATAGCTGCATGTGAAACATGTATACTTGCAAAAAACATTATTCATAAAACATATATCCATACATCATCCAAAAATAATAAGAGCTCAACGTAAAGTTATGATCAAGTTGAAAAAATAAACTTAAATCTATTTATTATGTACAATTAATGTTCCGTTAGTTGTATTTTTTATAGTAGAAAAGTCGATACAAAAGTAATGGTAGAAGTAATAATTCTTTTTCCACTATTAAAAAAGAACATTATTGTTTGCATGAAACCAGGTAGTAGTTTTTATTTTATTTTAACCCAAAATCAATTGAAGAAAAATATTAACATAATGAACTATTATATTGAAGAAATGGGTGTTTTAACATTGACAAATTAATCTTTGATTTGGTTAATGATTCAAAAAATGTTTATACTGGATGGGAAAGAGGTGTCAATTATTATAAAGTGCAATTTGTTGTATCAAAATTTAAACATGCTTATATGCTTTTCTTGTACAAATAAACTACTCCTCAGACATCTTATAGATGAAAAAAATACTTTTAACTTATAAATGGTCCAGTGACTAAAACTGGTAGATTACTGAACAAAAGCAAAATGGTTGAAAAAGTAATTCTATGTGAGCTACTTATTACCTTGCCGAACTTTATACTTAAGGATCTTTCAAAAAATCAATTTTTTGTTATTTGTTGTAAAAAAGCTAACATTTTTAAACAAAAATTTACAAAAGATATTTTTTAGGCGTTTTTGAACAATATATTTTTTAAGAAAGTAATATTAAAAAGATATTTGTTTATGAAATCTTTATAAAATTTTACTTCTTTCAAGACCCAACATTTTATTTTAGGAGAAAAATATTTTTGGTAGCATTTATATATCGACAATAGCTACTCAGAGCAGGGATGTGTAATCCCAAAAGAACTCCGGCTTTATATCTTTGTTTTTTTTCCTGGTAACTGGTGCCCAGGAGCTCTTAAAATGTTTATAGACATGATCTGCAATAAAAAAATAATTTATGAGACTTAACGACTTGGAACCTGTTACTTTTTAGTCCGGACATAAGAACTCCGGGCTTATTTAGATTTTTGAAACTCCTAGATACCAAAAAATGGGGGAAAAAAAAATCTTTTTTTAACTTTCAAATCCGGAGACCTTTTTGGGAATTCACATCCCTGACTCAGAGTTAGTGCGAAGGAAATGGTTTTTGAAAAATTTAAATTTCCACATATAGAGATACAATAATTTAATAAAAAGTCCCTGATGGTCGTGAAATACAGAAGCACGGTATTTACCTTTAAATGGCAGAATTAATTTTGATAAAATAGTGTGTTAAAACTAACTGTTAGACTCCGTTTATTATATTTTTGCTTCTCAAAGGAAGAATAATTTTTTTTTAAATTATTCCAAGAAAATTTTTTTGTTTTGAGAAAATTCATATTGTTTTTCATTTTATACAAATATTTTTTTAATTTTTTACATTTTTTAGGAGTTATATCCACGTTTTTGTGTTCATGGGGGAGGTGAGGAAGATCGTTTACCAACGGCAAGTACATGCATGAATTTTTTAAAACTTCCAGTGTATAAAAGTATCGATTTACTTAAAACAAGACTAATATATGCTATCGAAGCTGAAGCAGGTTTTGAGTTGAGTTAGTTAAAGATTTGAATCCAACTAAAAAAAATTGGAAACGAACATATAAAAAGAATTCCGTTTTGAAATAATAGTTATAAAAAAAAATTTACACTAACGCAAGTTAATAAAAATTTATATTTTTTTACATTCGTTTCAAATTTCTAATTACCAATATAAAATCTCATGCGTTTTGATGGTTGCGTGTGTGTATGGGTAGATCCAGTTTGTAAGAGATTAGATATAAAGGAGTTCGAATAATTTAAAAATCGCAATAACATCACCGAATAAGGAGAACAGAAAGAATTATTTAGTTTACAATTATTACTTTTTGTAAATAAATAATTGCGAGCTTAGCTGTAAATAAATAATTTCGAGCTAAATAAGCCTATAAAATAATATTCAAACAAAGTGACAATTTTTAATCAATGTAAGAGGTTATTTTTGTAATATCGGTTATGTAAAACTAATGATTTTTGTTACTAAAATTAGGTAAAATGTGAAGAAACGTGAACAAGAAATTAAATTATGAGAAATAATTTTTTGTAGATTTTTTTCTTTGTTTGTACTATTAGAAGGTGGGACAGTATTATTGACTATTATAATTATCTTAAAAATTATAACAAAAGTGTTCATCATATTTTAGGCTAACAAAATGTTTAAATATGTATATTTTTATAATTTAATCTTTCTAATCTAGTTAGAAATATTTATTTACTGCTATTTCTCATTAAAAATATGTCAAATATGAATTCTAGGCATCAAGGTTTAAAATAGCACCGCCTTAAGGCGTGCGCTTTTTGCAAGGTTTTTTAAACCTTGACTATAAACAAGGTTAGAAAAAGCGCACGCCTCACAGCCTTGAGGTAGTGCTTTTTTTTAATTGGTTGGGATGTAATATTTCCTTTGAAATACTGTTACATAGTACCATCTTGTAATGAAAAATTTTACTAATATATAGTTATTATTTAAAAAAAAAAAAGTATACTGCTATATTTTCCGAAGAAATATAGTTAATTTATCAAATAATGTTTACATTTTTCTGTAACGTGCGTGATTGCGTTTCAAACTTAATTTATTTTTTGATAACGTTACTAATGTATACCATTTTTTGTTTAAAATATATATACAGTGCTTCCAGAAAGTATTAGCGCACTCATTTTTTTTTTTACCTCAGAGAACTTTAAACTTAAAAATTCAAAAACACTAAAAGACTGATTGATAATTTTTTTTAACTAATTCATAAATTATACAGAATTAATATATGTAAAATATATAAAAGTATTTCTTTATTATTATCTTGAATTTAATTAGAATACAATAATAGTGATAAAGACAATAGTAAAAAAAGTGTGCAAAAGTATTAGCGCACTTACAGTTTTTCAAAGATTTTAGGAAAGTTTAATATTTAAGTGACCACCTTTGTTTTTAAGGCATGCCAAGACTCTACGCGGCATAGAATCTATAAGGTTTTTTGATTAGTTCTTGTGGCACGGTATTCCACAACGCTTGCATTTGCGTTTTGAGCTGCACCAAGTTAGTGGGCCTGCTTTTTTGTAATTTGCAGTCCATCTAACTCCAAAGATTCTCAATAGGATTCAAATCAGGTAAGCGCGCCGAGCCATCAGGTTCACCCGTTTTTCATTCATGTATTGCTTAATTGAGTGTGTTGTGCGGCAAGGAGCGTTATTTTGTTGAAATTGCCAGGTGGAGTCAGCTTTGAAAATGTCCATTGATGGCTTTAAATAATCTTCTAATATCTCTCTATATCGATGTTGATTAAGGCAATCAGTATAAAGATGCGCCAGGCCATTGCTAGATCCAGCAATGCAGCCCTAAATGCCAATTGAACCTCCTCCTCCATAAACTCTTGACATGATAAAACGAGGATTATATTTTTCGTTTTTGTATCTCCTCACGACAACTCTTTTTTTGCGATTAATAAGTTCAAAACTTGACTCGTCTGATAAAACTATTTTTCTCCATTGCTCTACAGTCCATGCAGTTCTCTCTTTGCACCATTTTCTTTGCTTGAGACTGTCTTTGATGCTTAGTAGTGGCTTCTTTGTTGCAAGGTATGAGTTGAGTTTTTTTTTTTTTTCATCAGCTTGCTAATTGTTGATCGGCTTACTTGATGTGCACTCATTGCTGTATTCAAGTTTGAGGCGATTTCAGCTATACTCATGTATACTGGACCACCAGAGCGATTTTTGTCATCGACTGCTCCAAACTCATTATAGTTTTTTAGCGTTGTTCTAACGCTGCATTCACTGATTTCAAGTTGACGTCCAATTTCTCGATTGCTGAGACCACTTTTGTGCAGGCCAACATCTTGCCACTTTGTTTCAATTGATATGCTCTTTAAACCCATATTTTTGTTGTTCAAATTTTAAAGTTTTAACTAACTGTATTTCAAATGATTTATCTGTAACTTCAACTTATGCTTCTTATATTTTTTATTGACTATCATTAATCAAGAGAGAGTAATTAACAAAATTTAACCAAAAAAGTTTTTCTCAAAGAAATTAAATAATTGTACTAATACATTTTAAATCAGTGCGCTAATACTTTTGTACGCGTAATATCACACATTTTTCAGAGTAGTCATTAAACTTCTAATTAATTCATCAAAAAAACAGGTAGTTGGACAAATATTTGACATTCTGATTAAATTTAATTGGTTTTACCTTTCATTAAAGAAAAACTAGTTCTTAATTAAAATTACTTTATAATTTAAATTGATTTAAAGTTGTCTGTTATAAAAAAAAATTACGAGTGCGCTAATACTTTCTTGAAGCACTGTTTATACATATACAGTGAAATGAAATGTCAAAGCAATTAAATTAATGCGGAAGAACATTAAATTTTATTGTTTTTTAAAAAAAACCGACAAGAAAGTTTTTTTTAATTAGTGGTGTTTTTGTTTTTGTTTTATTTAAAAACATTTTTAAAACATGCGTAAGTGTTGCTACATGTCCATGCAAGACTTCAAGTTTTATTCATCACAAAGTTCATTATTTGTACACGAAAATTAATAAATTAATCAAAAGTATTAAAAAAAGTTGATTTCATTCTGGACAAAAAATGTGCAATTCCACAAATGTTGACCAAGCTGTATTTTGCTATCAATATTTCGTGGCAAATCCTTTGTTGTCGATCACAGCCTTGCATCTTCGAGGCATAGATTCGATCTGGTGATCAATGAAATTTTGTGGAATCGCTGCTCTGGCCTTTTGGATTTGTTCAAACAGTTGATCCTTATTACGAATACTTTCACGATTAATTCTGCGATTGACGATCTCTCACAGGTTCTCGATACGGTTAAGATCCGGAGATTGAGGCGGCCAATCCATCATCGATAGGTGGTTGTCTTGAGACCACTGCTTGACTACTTTTGCAGTGTGTTTCGGATTGTTGTCTTGCTGAAAAACCCATTTTCTTGGCATATTCCATTCAGCATGAGGTAACATAACATCTTTCAGGATATTTTTATACATGAAACGGTCCATTATTCCATTGATTCGATGTATTGGACCTAAACCGTTAGCAGAAAAACACCCTTAGACCATTACATTGCCTCCACCATGCTTCACGGTTTTATGGCAGTAACTTAAATTGAGGCGTTTTCCGGCCGGTCGACGTACACGGCAAATGCCATCGCTCCCAATGATGTTAAACCTCAATTCATCACTGAAAGGACAGTTCGCCATTTCTGCACATTCCAGTCAATATGAGATGTAGCAAACAGGAGTCTTTTCTTGTGGTTCTTTAGTGAAATCAGCGGTTTCTTTGCAGAGCGATGAGAAAACAATCCGGCTTCAACAGCACGTCGTCTGATACAGGCAGCTCTAATTGCTTTTGTATCTCGACTGATGATATCCAGGGATCCTTCTTGACGGATCTGACGATCATAGAATCCTCTCTAGAAGCGGTAGAACGCGGTCTTCCACCTTTGTTATCTGCTACCAACTTCCCCGTAGAACAGTAATTGGAACATAGTCTTGATACGGTCCATTTTTTAACGCAATATCTATCACAAATACTATTTGTGACATTCCACTTACATAATCGCCAATAATTTTCTTTCTTAGTTCTAATCGAAGACTGTCGGGAGCCATTTTTGCACTTGAAGTCATAAAAATAATAAAAATAAATAATCACGCTTCTCAAGGCTTACCGTGTTACATTTACCTTGTGATGATACAGTAATGCTCTGTGGAACACAACGTCTTTGTTGGATGTGGACTGTATTGATGTAATGAAACACTTGTTGTATTTCACTTCTTGTATTGATGTTCTTCGATAAAACACTTTGATAAAACTCATCTTGATAATACTGATTGATTAACTTCCATATACTGACTGAATTACATGTCGGTTTACATGTCTCTTATATAGTAAAATGAAACTGTGTGAACCTGTTCTGGAAGATTCTAGATGCTTCTTTTCGATGCTTCTGGAAACTTCTGGATACTTATGGATGCTTCTGGATGTTTCTAGATGCTTCTTCTGGAAATTTCTGGAAGCTTCTGGATACTTCCTTTAATTATTCAAAAACTTCCGTGACGTTGACAACGACCAGACTTAAGAAAATGAAACAAACCAAAAAAGTTGCACTTGTTTTTTTCTCTGCAAAATGGCACTTGTCAACGAAATTCTGCCTGTCACCTGTCAGCTGATTGCTCATGTCATGGCATGCTATGACTCCAGACTCCTGAACTGTTTACTGTGGTAGTATAGTTCGTTTCGTTTTTAAGACATGTAAAATTAGGAACACTTTACTTTATATATATAACACACTTTATATATATATATATATATATATATATATATATATATATATATATATATATATATATATATATATATATATATATATATATAGAGAGAGAGAGAGAGAGAGAGAGAGAGAGAGAGAGATTAGAATTGAATAAGAGTAAATTAGAGATTGCCAGTTTTGTTAGTGATAAAACATTTACGATTTTCTGGGAGTGATTTTTAGGAAGTCCCCTATAACTATTTCCAGTTACATCAACAAATTCATAAAATGTTTAATAAGAAGAGAAACTTACTCATTTAATGGTAATTTAAAAAAAAATGTTTCCTTTCATAACGCATGACGATTTGTCAAAACCAATTTGACATTAGTAGTCAAGGACGGTCTGCAGTTAAAGATCATTGTAAGGTTATATATGGCGATATAGAAGCATCAAAATGGTTTTTGATGTTTCTATATCGCCAAACAAAATCACAATGTTGATGAAGAGTCAGAGCCAAAGTCAAAATGAAAAAATATTAGTCATTCAAAAAGTAACAATTACTTACAACACAAAATCGTCCCTAACTAGTTTGATAAATTCTTACTTGTTACCTAATCCCGGGAAATTATTCATTTTTGTCCCGGGATCCCGAGAATTAGATTTTTACGGAAAATGAGAAGCCCTAATATGAAGCAACAATTTTAAACGTGCTCAAGAAATTTTTTGAAACTAACTCAGACAATGTATTATTAAAAGCATCAAATATGTCAATTCTTTCT